CACCATCACGTTGAACTCGCCCTCCACGCCGTAGAACAAAATGTTGGGGATGCCCACGACCCCGCCGCCAGCGTTGAGGATGCGGTAGAATCGGGCCTCGAAGGCGAGCTGTGGGTGCCGCGTCTTCACCTGCTCCAGCTTGATGGCCACGGGCTCGCCGGTCTGAATGTTTGTCCCGCGGAAGATCTCGCCGAACGAGCCCGCCCCAATCTTCTGGCCGATGCGGAAGCGGTTGCCCACACGGAGCTCCACGCTCATTGTGTGTGTGTGTGTGTGTTCTTCACTACTACCTTGCTAGCAGCAGGAGGGAAGGGAAGGAACAAGCGGCATGCATTTTTTCCGGGGCAAACGGGGCGGCCCAACAGACTTGAAACAGCGGCCCCCGCACAGCACGCCGCTCAGACAACACGCCCCCCCTGCTCCTCCTCCGTACAGCGAGGGCTGCCCCGCCGCGGTTCGACGGCTGGTAACGACGAGCGGCAGAGCAAAGCGATCAGGAAGTTATGGGGGACGAACGATGGTGCGTAGGGAGGCGGCCGCAGAGGCGTGGAGAGAGCAGCAAGAAAAGCAAACAATAAAACAGCGGCGGTATCCTTCTATTCGCTGCATCTGCCGCCCCAGAACACCGTGCGTGTGCGCCTTCCTTCTCAGAGCAAGCACGGAACATCCCATTTATGGACTAGAGAACGCCCCAACATGAAGGCACGCAGGGCATCCAACCACGTTGTGCGAATGCCAAGCAGACAGAAAGACCCGACAGTACAAATGGACTACGCCTGCTCCACGTCCCCTCGCCCATGTTACTGCTACTGCTGTTGCTGCGGTTCCTGCTGGCCGGCATCCCCCTCCTTCAGACTCTCGTGAATGCGCTTCAACGTCCAGTCAAACACATAGTCCACGTGGTACCCTTCCCGGACAAAAAGCTCTCGTAATAGCCGCTTCAGGTAACTGTAGTCAGGCTTGTCCTCGAAGCGCAGGCTTCGCGCGTAGTTGAGGTACGCAGCAAACTCTGCCGGGAACCCCTTGCACAGCGTCTCTACTGGCGTCGTCTGTTTTCGCTCGGAGATGCGAGAGTACTTTTCCTGCTTCGTGTGTGCCTTCAGGCCCTGCCACGGCAGCGAGCCCCGCAAAAAATACATCAGAACGTAGCCGATGCCTTCCAGGTCGTCACGACGGCTCTGCTCGATGCCGATGTGCGTGTTGATCGAGCAGTACCGCGCCGTCCCAGTCAGACTCTTCCCCTCCTTGTACGGAATGTGCTGGTGCGTGCGGGGGTCCCGATACCTCTTGGCGAGGCCAAAGTCGACAATGTAGACGTGGTGCCCCTTCTTCCCGGTGCCCATCAGAAAGTTGTCAGGCTTAATGTCGCGGTGGATGACGCTCTTGCTGTGGACGAACTCGATGCGCGCAATCATTTGCTCGGCCAGCAGCAGCGTGGTCTTCAGCGAGAGTTTCCTGTCGCAGAAGCTGAACAGGTCCTCGAGTGAGGGCCCCAGCAGGTCCATCACCATCACGTTGAACTCGCCCTCCACGCCGTAGAACAAAATGTTGGGGATGCCCACGACCCCGCCGCCAGCGTTGAGGATGCGGTAGAATCGGGCCTCGAAGGCGAGCTGTGGGT